GAGAGGCCGGTGGCACCCCCACTCTCGGGGGAGAGGCCGGTGGCACCCCCACTCTCGGGGGAGAGGCCGGTGGCACCCCCACTCTCGGGGGAGAGGCCGGTGGCACCCCCACTCTCGGGAGAGAGGCCGGTGGCACCCCCACTCTCGGCCTCTTCAGCGGTGTCTTCTGGCGTCAGAGGCCAGTGGCATTCGAACTTTTAGGTCTCTTTTAGTTGTGGTTTGCAGAAAGTCAAACTTCCCATGATCATTACTGCCTGTTTCCCGAAAGATCTCCTTGCAGATTCACAGGGTAGTTTTCGTGTCTCCTGCTGTAAAACGAGTGTAAGGATTGCGTCCTCGAGGAACAACAGGTAACTGATGGATCCATCCACAGTGGAAAGAATGAGTGTAAAGGAGCAGGAGAAGACTCACCATGCGTAGAGACAAGAAGTAGCGGCTGTGAGAATCCGTGAGGTTTAAAGGTGGTTTCTGGCTTTTAATCTGGTACATGTTGTTTGTTTTACTAGAGACCTGGAGGACCCAGCAATGTTCTACGAGATGCATGTCTGGTTGCTAATATTCTAGACCCCAGGATCAAACAGGAAATCATCAAAAAGTTCATTAAACAGCATCTGTCAGAGTATCTAGTACTTTTTCAAGAAAACCAAGATGTAAGTATTGACCAAATGAGATCAGATGTAACCTTTGAATTTTATTGAAAAATGAATGCTCTCAAGCCTGTGATTTAGACTTCCTTTTAGTATGGCTGTCTTCCAGTGTTGATTGTTGAGCTGTGAGTCCTAGGGGCTGACTTTATAGTTCTTAAGTCTTTTGAGAAATTCAGAAACATGCACCTGTGCATAAAATTCTGCTTATAGTTTCTGGAGATGTATAGACCCCTGAAGGCCAATCATGGACCCCAGGTTAAAAACCTCTGGATTTTTTTTTTTTTTTTTTTTGGTGAGACGGAGTTTTGCTCTTGTTGCCCAGGCTGGAATGCAGTGGTGCTATCTCAGCTCACTGCAACCTCCGCCTCCTGGGTTCAAGCGATTCTCCTGCCTCCCCCTCCCAAACAGCTGGGATTACAGGTGCCCGTCACACCTGGCTGATTTTTGTATTTTTTAGTAGGGACGGGGTTTCTCCATGTTGGTCAGGCTGGTCTCGAACTCCTGACCTCAGGTGATCCGTCCGCCCTGGCCTCCCAAAGTGCTGGAATTGTAGGCCTGCGTCACTGTGCCCAGCCAAAAACCTTCGGATTTTTAAGTAAAAAGTCAAGTTAAAAACGTAGCCTAGATTCTTTAAAACCATGAGAAATACGGAGGTTGGTTCCGTTTTGCTTGGCTCAGTGTTTTTGCTTGTTTCCTTAAACTGCCAGTTCTACTTCTAACCACTGGGGTGGTTTTTGATCTTCACCTTCACCAGGTTGCCTGGCTGGACAAAATCGACAGACGCTACGCCTGGATAAAACGCCAGCTTGTGGACTATGAGGAGAAATACGGCCGCATGTTTCCACGTGAGTGGTGCATGGCTGAGAGGATTGCGGTGGAATTTTGCCACGTGACAAGGTAGGTGCCAGTTCTCTACTGGTTTTGTTGTTCATCGAAGTTTCACCATCAATTCCCCAGTCTCTAGCGGTTCCACGTTGTCCTGTGGATTTGGTGCCACCTCCAGACCTCACCAGATGATTGATGCCATCCTCGTACCCAACGGTGGCCCCACCAGCTGCTCCCTCTGCCCCCGTCTTTGCTCTGGGACTTTCCTTGGTGTAGTTCTTGCCTCAAGCAGTCTCTACCTTCTCCACCAACTCAAGGCTTGTCAACCAGCTTGACTTACAGCGACTCCTCTACCCCAAAACGATATGATATGTTTTCCCCAATCGATATCGCGTATGTCAGTGTGCTGTGTGTGTATCCCATCATCATTTTTATTTTCTGACTTGCTAGATAGATAGTTCCATAGAGACAGGATAGTATCTACTTTAATGATATAGCAGACACTGAGGAAACTTGTGTTGAGTGAATTTCCCACTCCCAGTACGGTGTGTATAGCCTCTGGATAGTTAGAGCTTTTATTTTGAGACAGAGTCTCACTCTGTCACCTAGGCTGGAGTGCTGCAGTGGTACAATCCCAGCTCACTGCAACCTCCGTTTACTGGGTTCAAGTGATTCTCATGCCTCAGTCTCCCAGGTAGCAAGGATTACAGGTATGTGTAACCACACCTGGCTAATTTTTGTATTTTTAGTAGAGATGGGGTTTCACCATGTTGGCCAGGCTGGTCTTAAAGTCCTGACCTCAGGTGATCTGCCCGCCCATCTCGGCCTCCCAAAGTGCTGGGATTACAGGCATGAGCCACTGCACCTGGCCTGCATCTGAGCTTTCCAAGCATTTTAAAGACCTTCTTTCATTCATCCTCTCTACATTATCCATGTGTGTAGCCCAAGGACAGATAGTCTTTTTATATTAAAAAAACTAAAGCCCAGGAAGGTTAATTCAGTATATCTATGACAAAGCTAAAGCCAGAGTCAGACTTTTTTTTTTTTTTTTTTTGAGACGGGGTCGCACTCTGTCACCCAGACTGGAGTGTAGTGGTGTGATCACGGCTCACAGCAGCCTTGACCTCCCAGGCTCAAGTGATTCTCCCACCTCAGCCTCCGGAGTAGCTGAGATTGCAGATGTGTGCCACCACACCGGCTAATTTTTGTGTGTGTATTTTTTGTAGACACAAGAGTTTGCTACGTTGTTCAGGCTGGTCTTGAACTCCTTTTAATTCTTTGTTTGCAGCTACACTACAACAGTGTTGGTAACTGGTTCATATTAGTTGTATATTTTTCCCCAGTGGTACACAGTTATATCTAAAGCCAGGTGAAAAAGAGAAAAAAAGGCCCACATCTAAGCATAACTCAGCCACCTTCCCAGAATTCATGGTGGTCTTTTTGTTAAGATCATGGAAGGTATAGTCAAATTGCATTGTTTTAAACACATCGTGGGGGAAAAGTGTTTTAAGGGATATTGGCTTTTCTTAAAATAGATTTTATTTTTTAGAGCAATTTGAGGTTCCCAGCAGAATTGAGCAGAAGATACAGAGAGTTCCCAGGTGCTCCCTGCCCCACGTGCATAGTCTCCCCATGGTCAGCACCTTCCACCAGAGGGGTTTATGTGTCACAGCAGATGAAGCTACACAGACACATCATCATCACCCAGGGTGATAGTCCATAGTTCATGTAGTGTTCACACTTGGTGTTCATTCTGTGTGGCTTTTTTGTTGTTGTTTTAAGAGATGGGGGTCTTGCGGTGTTGCCCAGGCTGGAGTACAGTGGCTATTCACAGGCATGGTGATAGCACACCCCAGCCTTGAGCTCCTGGGCTCAGGCAGCCCTCCTGCTTCAGCCACCCAAGTAGCTGCAACTGCAGATGCACTCAGCTCCATTCTGTGTGGCTGTTGTTCTAAGAAACACATTGGGCCAGGCTTAATGGTTTATGCCTATAATTCTAGCACTTCAGGAGGCCAAGGCAGGTGGATCATGTGAGCCTAGGAGTTTGAGACAAGCCTGGGCAACGTGGCAAAACCCCATCTCTACAAAAAATGCAAAAATTAGGTGGTCATGGTGGCAAGCACCTGTAATCCCAGCTACTAGAGAGGCTGAGGTGGGAGGATTGCTTGAGTCCAGGAGGTCGAGGCTGCAGTAGGCCATGATCGTGCCATTGCACTCCAGCCCTGGGTGACAGAGGGAGACCCTGTCTCAAAAAAAAAAGAGAGAGAGAATGAGTGAGAGAAGGAAGGAAGTAAGGAAGGAAGGGAGGGAGGGAGAGTGGAAGGGAAAAAGGAAAAGAAAAGAAAGAAAGAAAGAGAAACACATTGACTCCTGTAGATTTAGAGAACCTTTTAGCCTTGGTTTAAGATCAGTTGAGATTGTCACCTTCTAAATCCCAGTTAACAAAATAAAGAGTGAGTTCCTTGAGAAACTGTTAGCTCATTCCTTTTAGCCTACAGTTCAGCAGACGTGCAAACCGGCTCAGTGAGAAATGGAGCCTGGGAGAGACTGGACGTGTGCCAGAGCCAGCACGTCTCTGTGAGCACCAGTACCTGCCATTGTTGTCTTGGCTAATGGCAGTGTTGCTGCCAAGCTTCTATTGTTAGAATTTTGGCTAAAATCCTACAGATACATCATTCTTAAATAAACTCAGAGACTCTTTGTTTGATTTCATCATTGATTTGTGTGGGAAGATGATAGCTTAGTCCTTACTAAGAACTGGCATGTCCCTGTTCACCAGCAACTGAGCGTCTGAGACGGAACGTCTGAGTGAGCTGCACCGGCGCTTCTCGGGCAGGGACCAGCTAAGCGTGCTTGTCACTTTTCCCGCCGCGATCCTGTCCCTGGCATGTTTCCAGGACTTACGCCGTCAAGTTGAAGAGATGATTACTGGGCCCTTAGGAAGAGGCAGGGCTTTATAATTCAGTAATTAATGACTTGTGAAATTATATAGGATATATACACTAATAAAAAACTAGGTGCTCCGTATGTATTATTATCCAATTCTTCAACAGTTCAAAGATACAGGCAATGTAGTAACCGTGAAAACAAATTACTGGTGGCTCCCGCCTGTCATCCCAGCACTTTGGGAGGCCGAGGCGGGCAGATCGCCTGAGGTCAGGAGTTTGAGACCAGCCTGGCCAACATGGTGAAACCCCATCTCTACTAAAAATACAAAAAAAAGGAATCATTTGAACCCAGGAGGTGGAGGTTGCAGTGATCACACCACTGCACTCCAGCCTGGGTGACAGAGGGAGACTCCATCTCAAAAACAAACAAGCAAACAAACAAACTATATATATATATATGTATATAAAATCCATAACCCCTGATTTTTTTTGCCTGGTGGATAATTTCACCTTAAAATTCTTGTTTAGAACATGTATTTCTGTTCCCCGGGTTTTAGACTAAGCTGGTAACAGACCTCAGGGTTTGAAAAGACTACGTACATTTTTTTTCCTGAGTATAAGTTAAGGCCATTTACTTTGTCTTCTCTTGAATGAATGAGCAGTTTGTTTGATAGTATTCTTATCTCTTTGTTTTGAAGGACAGAACTTGCCAAGATTATGCGTACCAGAGCGAAGGAAATTGAAGTGAAATTGCTTCTTTTTGCTATTCAAAGAACAACTAACTTTGAGGGGTTTCTCGCAAAACGCTTCTCTGGCTGCACCCTGACCGATGGGATCCTGGTAAGACCTTCCCTAGGGGGCTGCCATGTGAAATCAGGGGGTTGGGTGGTTGGGATTCAGTGTTCACTGTGTGGTGACTCTGTCCAGTGGCTTCAGTGCTTACTCCCTCGCTGCAGTGATTTCTCTGAGCTGCTGGGAAAAGTGATGATAGAAAACACTCTGTGTGGATTTATCATTTGTCTGTGATGCAGTATGTCATGTTTCTAGAATGCCCTGTCATCATTTTTCCTAAGTATTGATCCCGTTCTACCGACTAGTAATTTTGTGAGTCAGAGGCCTTACTCGGTCACAAATACCTTATTACTTTATCAGCTGTCAGATTTGGTTACAATTAGGATATGTTTTTACTTTAGAGTTTACCTTTTAACATCTCTGGTGAGCAAACTAGGTCAATGAGTCTCTGTAAAACCCAAAGCCAGGTATACAGGCCTGGGGACTACACGCCTCCGTTGGAAAGGGGGAACATAGTACTGCCGGTTAAATGTTTGTCTCTGTGTAGTCAAAGACCAAGTCCAAATTTTCTCTCTGGAAACCTCTTGTTTTTGGCTTGATGCAGTGGCTCACACCTGTAATCCCAGCACTTTGGCAGGCCGAGGCGGGATTGCTTGAGACCAGGAGTTTGAGACCAGCCTGGGCAACATAGCGAGACCTCATCCCTACAAAAAATTAAAAAAAAAATAATTAGTCGGGTACACCCCTTAGTCCCAGTGACTTGGGAGGCTGAGGCGGGAGGATCACTTCAGCCCAGGAGTTGAGGCTGCAGTGAGCTATGGTGGGTGACAGAGTGACACCCTATCTCTAAAATAAAGAAAGAGAAAGGAGTAAACCTCTTCTTTTTGGAGGTCCAGACTCTCTGCTAACACATCAATATGCTTTCTTCAGACTTCCTATGCACTGGGAAACCAAGTGACTATGTTCTGTGGTCATTTCTGTTTGCATCATTACATATGCGTAGACATTGAGCTCCTTGGATGCAGGAATTGTCGCTGGCTCATCTGTCTCCTCGAGTCGTGCAGAGTATACACAGAACCCATGCAGGCAGGAATGGAAAGGGAAAGAAGAAAGGAGGGAGGGAAGAAGATATCCACGTTGAGAGAATCATACCTTTGAATTTTCTTTAAAGTTAGATTTTGGGTTTTTTTAACTGCTGGTAACAATAGAGAAGCAATGTGATTTAGTAGAAAAGTCCTTGGACCTGCAGTAGAGAGAGAAGATGCATGGCCTAATCCCGATTCCACTGTAACGTAGTGAACTGCCTTCCCTGTTAAATGAGAAGAAAGGACTATCCTTTATTTATTTATTTATTTATTTTTCATTTTGTTTTTTAGACAGAGTCTTGCTCTGTCACCCAGGCTGGAGTGCAGTGGGGTGATCTTGGCTCACTGCAACCTCCGCCTCCTGGGTCCAAGCAATTCTCCTGCCTCAGCCTCCTGGGTAGCTGGGATTACAGGTGCCCGCCACCACACCTGGCTAATTTTTGTATTTTCAGTAGAGACGGGGTTTCACCATGTTGGTCAGGCTGGTCTCAAACTCCCGACCTCAGGTGATCTGCCCACCACCTTGACCTTCCAAAGTGCTGGGATTCCAGGTGTAAGCTACCATGCCTGCCTATCATTTAATAACAGAATATTAGGGAGACTACATAAGACATAAAACCCAAAAGCCATGAAGAAAAGTGCTGAAAGGTTTGACAACATAAAGAGAACAAAATTCTTTTGGAAAATGAGACCAGAAACAATCAAGGGATTAAAAAACAGTTTAAGCTGTATGACACAAACGATTAATATCTAGCACATATAAAGAACTCCTAAAAATCAGTAAGGAAAAGACAAGTAACCTATTTGAAAAATGAATACAGAGTCAAACAGACGATTCACTGAAGAAATTCAGTTGGCTAATAAACATGAAAAAAAAGAAAACAGGATATTTTTCCTACATCAGGTTTACAAAAAGAAAAAAATTACAAGACTAACAGTACAGGATTTTAGTGCTAATATACAGCTTGATACCTTTTCGGTGCATACATTGTCATATCAGAACTTTCAGAAATGTAAATATGCGTGTCCTATCAAGCAACAATGTTACATCTAAACCAGAAGTCTAAAAAAATCCATACATGTAGAGGAAGATGCACAAAGAAAGAGGTGAACTCAGCCTTAAAAGCAAAAGACTTGGATATGTCTGTAATGTTTATTATTGAAGAATGGTTAAATAAATTACGGTGCATCCATGCCGTGAGATGCTACACACAGTTTAAAAGTGGTGGAATGGGGGCCGGATACGGCAGCTCACGCCTGTCATCCCAGCACTTTGGGAGGTATAATGTCTTTTATGGAAAAAGTAAAAAGCATGTTTATGTGCGTAAATGTGTAAGAAAGAGGTCTGGAAATGGTAACAGTAGATGTCTCTCAGGAAGGAAGTTGGAGTGAGAGTAGGTAGAGAAGCAAGGAAATATTTTTTTCCATTTACTCTGGTATAGTTTTTTGGAAATTTTCTTATACAAATGCATTTACATACTTTATGTGTACTTTAACAAAGTTATTTTTCAATTGTTTTAAAATGAGAGATGGGCCAAATCAGTGATTTCCAAATCCTTTCTTGTAACAAAATCTAATGTAGAGGCTGGGTGCGGTGGCTCATGCCTATAATCCCAGCACTTTGAGAAGCTGAGGTGGAAGATCACTTATGGTCAGGAGTTTGAGAGCAGTGTGGCTATCACGACTAAAACTACAAAAAATTAGCCAGGCATGGTGGTGGGTGCCTGCCAAGATTGCACCACTGCATTCCAGCCTGGGCGACAGAGCGAGACTCCATCTCAAAAAAAAAAAAAAAAAAATCGAATGTAGAATCCGAACACAATAGCTCCCGTGCTTTGAACATCCACTTGGTGACCCACACTATACCAGGTGCGTTTACCTACAGTCAGTCACTCTGCTTCATCAGCCATAGGAAGTAGGTGCTATACTCATTTGAAACTTACCCTAGGCCGCGGAGCTAATGTGTAAAAACATGAAACTGAGCTACTGTGATTGAAGCAGGGGCCAGGCTGGGACTTGGACCTGGAGTCCCACTCACTTGTTCACCCTTCACCTCTGCTGCCTTCTCTAGCTCCTACCCTTCTGGTCCTAAAACCCTGAGACTTCAGTGGAATTCTCTCTTTGTCCCACGAGGCCAGCCTCAGAGTAGGTGGCGCAGGTGAATCGGGCTGGTCTTTCAGGCAATGGACTACAGAGTGGTGGTGGCAGCAACCCAATTTTGAGGCCAGACCACAAGGTCCTGCCTACGTGGGCTCACCTATGACTTTGTTAAAATAAAATGCGACTGAAACCACAAAAACACTCTTCCTAGTTGGCACATCAAAAATATGTATACTTCTCTGCTTGCTGACTAATGTTCAATATTGATGTCTTTTTTTTGTAACAAGGGGAAAACGGTCACAAACCAGATGAAAATAGCCTTAAAGAAAGTGCAGGTCAGAAAAGGAAGTAAGCGGGGCATGGTGGTGCACGCCCGTAGTCCCAGCTACCCGGGAAATATTCGCGGGGCATGGTGGTGCATGCCTGTAGTCCCAGCTACCCGGGAAATATGAGCGGGGCGTGGTGGTGCATGCCTGTAGTCCCAGCTACCTGGGAAATTTTAGCAGGGCATAATGGTGTACCCCTGTAGTCCCAGCTACCCGAGAGGCTGAGACAGGAGGATCGCTTTAGCCCAGGAGGCAGAGGTTGCAATGAACTGAGATTGCATTACTGCACTCCAGCCTGGGTGACAAAGTGAGACCGTCTCAAAAAAAAAAAAGAAAAAAGGAAATAGGGAACAGAGATCCCACTGAAGGAATCGTGTGTTTCTCCTGAGAAGTACGAGGTTGGCTTTAGCAACCTCCTGATTTCCTCTTGCTGGCTCTCCTCTCGGACCTTCCCAAGCCGTGCTTCTGCCTGGTTTCAAGCACAGATACATGCGGCACTGGATTCAGCCCTACAGAGGTCTGCCAGGGGACAAGCATGAGGTTTCAGCATTGGGCACAGGCCCCACCTGGGAGTAGCCCCCTGAGCTCCCGTGGCCTCTGGCTGGGCAGGGTCTGGAGAGCGTCAGGACAGGCTCTGTGAGCTGGTAATCCAGATGACCGGATGGGAAATAGGTCCCAGTGAAGGATGCTTGAATGACGTTCTTGCCAAGCCTTGTTTTGAGCCATTCTTCACCCTCTCTGGCTGGGCCCTACATCCTGGTGATTTTCTTTTACATTTAGGGAGCTATAGGACCACGGAAGAACAAATGGCCCTGTTGTATCCGAGGACCAGGGTAGCCTGTGAACCTGGGTCTGTCCCAGGACCTGTCTGAGGAAAAATCCCCCAAAGGCCAAAAGTGCTAAGGGAATGAGGGCGGGGAACGAGGGCGGGGAACGAGGGTGGGGAGTGAGGGCAGGGAACGAGGGCAGGGAAGGCCCTCCTGGACAGGCTGAGGCTGCTGAACAGGGCAACCACGTGGAGACCATGAAAAACTGAAGGAGCTTACTCAAGTTCCCAAAGACAATGCTTTATTGAAAAACACAGGTACAGGCCTGTCAGAGCGGCAGTTGGCCAACTGTCAGCCACCTTCTGTCCTGGGAGGACAGGGCTGGGGGTACTGGTGGCTCAGGCCTGAACTCGCTCAGCCAGAGCCCAGCTCCTGGACCGGAGCCCGGTGTCTCCTGGCTGAGGCGGTGCTCTGAGGGGTGGTCAGGGGTCAGCTAGGAACACTTGAGCCTTTTTCCCCAGTTCCTTCCTTTTTGGTGTTCATATTTGAAATGTTTTGGCAGAACCGGTCTGTAAGGCATCCCCTCTTCATTGTTCAGTTGCTCTCGTCTCCTATCAAGTTTGCGGAGTGTCAGGTTATAAATCCGTAGCTGGGAAAGAGCGATGAGTACCATGAGTTCTTTCTTTCCCTCTCTATTGAGTCAGCTCTCAGCTCTCCTCGCCACAGACTCCTCTAAACCCTTCAACTTCTTTAATTCAACCTCGTCCTCC